TTACAAGGTGCACTGCTATTCATTTTTCAGTACTGCTATCACTATCTTCAGCCCTACGCTGTTTTTTTGTTTTTTTTTTTTTTTGTTTTTTTCCTGAAGGGCTTTCTGTGGAGTTTCTATAGTGAAAGAGACAAATGAGTTAGGGAGAGTGCATTGTAAAAGGAAATAGTCATATATTTAGCAAACATTTACTAAAGTAGAAGGGCATGGTGACTGAGCATAGACTCTAAACCTAGAGTTAAAGAGCCAGATTCCTTGTGTGACTTTAGGCAAGTTACTTAATCTAAGTGTATCAGTTTTATCATCTGTGAAATTGATATCATGGTAGCACCCACATCACAGTTTTGTGAGCATATTAAAAAACATGAATGCATATAAATTGCCTGGCATACAGTAAGAACTCAAATGTTTAATGTCCTTATTAAATGCTATCATGTTTTTAGGAACCTGAATTTAGTACTACTAACTTACTGGGAGGAAAACATTCTTTCTCAGCAAAGTATAAGGTAAAAAGGCTTCTTTTTCCCCAGGGCGGCTCCATTTTAAAACACTAAAGGTTGATACTTAATCTGTATGGATATTATGGCAAGCATGTGTGTTGATTTTAGTTACTTGACAGATGTTTATTTCATATAATTGTGCCCGCCCTACTATTTTAATAGGAAGTGACCAATGGCATTTTTTAACCAAACTTCCTGATCTTTGTCTACTGGCAAGCTGTCCATCATGACTGAATTGATGGTGTGAAGATCAAAGTCAACAATATAAATTCAGGAAGTAAAGACATTACCTCTAGACTAGACTATTTTAGATTGAACTTCAGGTCAATAGTCTGTAAAACCCAGTGAGGGTCAGTATGCCAAGAAAATTTAAATTAAATATTCATTGTCCTATCTTTTCCCAAACATATCAACAATGTGGAAGATGGGGCTGGGGAAGAAATGATTCTATGGTACAAGTATCCTACTGCTTCTAGTATTTATAACCTAAAGTCTCAAACCAGCTGCACACATTAAATATCTGCTTCTAACAAAGATATTTAGCTTTAATGAATAATGTTTACTTGAGAAATTATAATTAGTTCATCACAGCCTGTTAATTTTATATTCTGTTTTTTAATACTTTTAATAAGAATGAGACAATATATCATGCCTTACAAGAATTATGACTGATTTCTTACAATTACATACTACATTTTAAAGGTATATTTTATGATTCTTAATCTTTGGATGGAAAGTACATTACATGTGATGGTTGTTAAAAATACTTCTCCATCTTGCATTTTTCCTTCATTTGAGGCAGCACATTTCAACTATAAAGTATGTAACAGTGTCTGCCTTAGCCAAAAATAAAAAGATAAAAAAATAAAAAAAAACTCACCTTTTGGAGCTATAAAATATACAGAATTGAAAGCTGACACCTAATATATTTTTCATTAGATACAGATGTTCAATGTAGATTCTTTCTTCAAGTATTCATGGAAATCAGGATAAAGAAAAATTAGAAAAATTTTCAGGTATAATGTATAAAGTAAAATTCATACCTTTTGGTAAGTTGATAGTAACTTTTTAATGAAAAACATTTTCTTTTTGTAATTTATAAATTCTTTAAAATATTATAATTATCTTGTCACTTAACATCATGAATAGAATCTCTAAATTTCCATAGAGCTTAATGAAATAAGAATACCTAAAAACCTCATCTAAGTGTAGAAAATCTTAAAACTAATACATATTTAACAATTTAAAGTTTACCTTTTTTTACCTTGGAATTTAATTGGTAATTTTGAAAATATTTCTAATACAAATGTTGTGCACTGGGGGGGAAGGGGGTCCCTCAGCCTGGCCTGTGCCCTCTCGCAGTCCAGGGGGTGGGCCTAAGCCAGCAGATGGACATCCTCCGAGGTGTCCTTATAGCACTCCCGCCACCACTGCTGCACTTGCCAGCCATGAGCCTGGCTTCTGGCTGAGTGGTGCTCCCCCTGTGGGAGCGCACTGACCACCAGGGGGCAGCTCCTGCATAGAGCGTCTGCCCTCTGGTGGTCATTGCGCATCATTGTGACTGGTTGTTCCGCAGTTTGGTCGATTTGCATATTAGCCTTTTATTATATAGGACTTATTTTTCATACTTGTCTACAAAATAACTTTCTTGTTAGAAAATGCAGGCCAATATGGTGAATGCATGATACAAATTCAGTTGTGCTGGCTTTTTGTTCTTGAGATTATTACTTTAATTCCTGAATTGAGTTGAGCTGCATACAATCTATATATATATATATATGCAATGTATCCCCTCGGGAGTTCGACCGGGAAACCGGGAGTTTCTCATTATGACTTGCGCTGACCACCAGGGGGCGGCATGGAATGAAGGAAGGCCCCAGCCAGCAGTTGGCAGCAGGTGAAGGAAGGCCCTGGCTGGCAGCCGGAAGATCCCAATTGGCCCTGATTGCCAGCCAGGCCTAGAGAACCTACCCATGCACAAATTTTGTGCACCCGGCCTCTAGTTTTGAAATAATAGTCATTTTGAATAGGCTATGTCTGTGGTGAGTAATTCGAGCTACTGGTGTTTTGCCACCTGCAGAAGTCATTATTCTAACAGGGGGCTGAAATGTGAACTATCCAGTAGGGGAAAAAAGAACATTTTTAAAGAAAGTAATTCTCTTTCTCTTTTTAACTGCCCTTCCCCCAAATCTAAAAAAGAAAATCATTTCAAACAGATGTGTCTTGAAATAAAAATATATTAGGTATTGTGAATTTAACTTTAAGCCAGTAGTTTATCTATTGTTCCATATGGGTTATATTTAAGTGTTCATGGATTTGAGCTGCATGCATTTTTCTTAAGATAAAGGTTAACTATGTATAAAACTTTAAAATACTTCCTCTTATTTTGCCTTAAGCACTTTTCACAAAGATAGTACCCAATGTTTTCTCAGTTTCCCAATAGTTTATTTCTTCATCTGTTAATTCATGTGCTCACTGAACACATTTACTATGTGCCTACTATGTAAATAACATTATGTTTACCTTTGTAGGCGCGTGCGCGCACACACACACACACACACACACACACACACACACACAGATACAGATTTACCTCAAGAGGTTTACAGTGTATTGAGGAAGACAAAAATTTTATACAAAACATATTACCAGCTACAGAAGTTTGATAATGCCAATGTGAGTGATACCCATGAGTATAACTGTACAGAAAATAGATCATTATGAACTAGGAGAACCTTTTTCTGGATTTCTGATTAAAGGGCAGCTGGAACTTGGCCAGAAAGATAGAAATAGGACATTGCAGGCAGGGTCATGCCGGAATCAAAGCCCTGACAGCAGGAACTGGAAGATGGGCTAATGGAACTGTGAAGGCAGGGTGCAGACCACCGAGCAGAGTATAAGGACGTTAGATTAGAAAGGTAGATTAGAGGATTGGGGAAGACCTTTAGATATTGGTTTAAAGTGGACATATTTTATATTTTAAGTAGAGACGAAGACTAGGGACTCTTCATAAAGATGAAGAAGGAGCCAGTGAGGGTGGTGTTTAGCAATAATAATTTTAGCAATGAGTGTGATATGTATTGGACAAAGAAGTTGAGGGTGCAAGGGATAGCTCTTGTTGCTAGAGGTTTAAATATGGATCAGGACATTTTTTTTATTAAGATGATGGCACAAGAAGCAGAAGGAAGTATGAATTTACAGGATTTGTCATTAATAACTTACAGGAAATTAAGGCAGGAAGATAAAATGTTCTGAAATAGAGAATTATAGAACCAGGAATAGGAGAGAGCTTTGAGGGAGATGAGTTTAGGGGAGCATAGAAGAAAAACTTCAGTGGTTTTATAGGAGCTGGAGGAATAGTGCAATCAGGAGTGATAATTAAATGGTAAAGGGTTTCTTTAGGGTGTTACAAAAATGTCCTAAAGTTGTTTGTGGTGATGATTGCACAAGTCTGTGAATACAGTGTCAGAAGCCATTGAATTTTACACTTCAAATGAGTGAATTGTAAAGTACGTGAATGATATCACAATAAAGCTGTTATAAAACAAAAGAAAAAGGAAAATATGCTTTGGGAACGTATGAGAAAGAAAAACAATGGTTAACCAATTAAATGTCAGGGATGGACAGTTGTGAATCATGTTCAGAAGAGCAGTAGAAGAAGCTGAGAGTGTAGTGAGGAGAGAATGGTTAGAGAGAGTGTGTGTTTATAGAGAGTTTATCAACAGCATTGATTTTACCTGTACATATTATCTCAATTGGGAAAACAAATGCAATGGGATTTAGAGATGTGGCTTTATGCATTGGCCATGCTATTAAAGTAGCCAATGATGGTTGATTTTTGATATATGATGGCTCTATTTCAAATTAAAGAAGAGAGCAAAGGCGTATATGTAACACAACATACCAGCCTGCTTTATGCCCTTGCCTTGCAGGCCCAAGTAATTGACTGGGCCACTGAGCAAATCTCAGATGCTAAGCTGTACAGTCATTGGTAGAAGCTGGTTCTTTGAGTTTCATTGACTGCTTGATTGCTAAATGGTGGGACTTTTTCACCCAGAATATCCTTTTGTCACTTTTAATATGAAATAAAACACATATGCAGTTGAAACTATTTTATTCAAATGTAAAATGTTGAGATTCTTGTTACCAAAGGATAACATAAAACTCCAAAGGAATACAGTGGGGCCTTGACTTACGAGTGTCCCGACTAACTAACGAGTTTTTTGAGATACCAGCTGTCTCTCAGCCGATTTTTTGCATTGAGTTGATAGAGTAATTTGAGTTAACGAGCTCCTTAACGAGCTTGGTCTCAGAACGAATTAAACTCGTAAGTCAAGGCCCCACTGTAATTCTTTCCCATGAGTTCCTATCCCAGACCACATAACTCAGCTGGAATAGAAATGTTGATGATAAAACTATGTCAGATATGCTGCCATGAATTGTCACATTTGTGTTTGGGGCGTGATTGTGCTTTTGTAATGCTTCTTCTGGTTATTTCAGGGAAGGAGATTACGGCAGAAACGTTTATGGAGAAATTGGACAATGGTGCCTTGCTCTGTCAACTTGCAGAAACTGTTCAGGAGAAATTCAAAGAGAGCATGGATTCTAACAAGCCCACGAAGGTAAAAGAGCCCATAACTATTAGGATGTGGATCACACTTGTAGTTGCTTATGAGTTGAATTTATTTTAAGAGTTTCATTGAGAATGGATGCATTACTGTCTCTATTAACAACATGGTATTTGTTCTCTAGTTACATAAATTACATAATCCTTTTGGTAAGTCTAATTAAACAAAAGCTTATAGAAATTGACGGTGATTAGTGTGGTATACAAACTAGCCCAATCTGATGCACTGACTAAAAATTTAGCAGAGAAATAATACATGCCAACAGGCAATAGACAAAATCTAGTCAAGAAAGACATACTAAATAGGTCTTTGTTTTCAAGTAGATCATTATGGCAGAATATTGGAAAAAAATATTTGGAGTGGGTAACTTTTTGTTTGTTTTAAATAGGTAGCAGCATTGAATTAAGGACTTTGGACAAATTATTTTCTTTGACTCCTCAGATTTATTTTCCACATATTAATTCTAATATTCTTTTCTCTTATTATTGTAAACATGTAATAAAAGTGTGATGTTTGATGTTTTTTGAAGGAAAGAAGAGAGATGATACTTTTCTTAACTTTTAATAGAGAAATGAAAAAAAGTAAGGTTAAAATAATGTTAAAGTCAGCTTAAAATACAAATAAAAAACAACAAACTTTCTGCACTTCTGGAAAAATAGATAAAAGTGATTATTTATGTATAGTTTCTTTATGACTACTGAACTAAAACCCAAACAGAAGATTAATCTTCCTAAAACACTGTATTTTTTTTACAGTGCTATACTTAATTTGGGAATAATATCCTATATCACTTTGTAGAGTGCTGTATAATAATAAAAGCGTAATGTGCTAATTAGACCGGACGTCTTTCCAGACGAAGCTAGGGCTGCAAGGGAAGCCTGGGTCCCAGGTGCCGGCCGGCAGCCGGAGGGAAGGAGGGAAGTCCGGGTCCCGGGTGCCAGAGGGTAGCTGGTGCCAGCAGCGGCGGGAAGGAAGGCCTACTCTTACACACATTTCATGCATCGGGCCTCTAGTATAATATGAAAGCCCCTCCATTTTTTAAATTTTAAAAGTGCCTCCATGAATGTATTAATTTACTGGCTCCCAAATTTGCTGCACATTGGAATCACCTGAGTATCTTTAAAAATGACTGAAACCTGGCCTGAACATTCTGATTTAATCCCTATTGGGAGCAACCCGGGGATGTCTAAAAAGCTCCTCAGGTGATTCTAAAGTTCAGCAAAGTTTGGGTCCCCCTGCATTCATTTCTTCCTCCCCTCCCTCCAATGCAGTTTAGATGCAGACTAAGTGATTTGTGCAAGATCAAGAGTAGATTCACTAAAACCCAGATAGTTAGGCTTACATTGAATATTTCCCATAGAGAAAAAGGAGGCTTTCAAATTGGGTATACATAACCTGGAGGCCACAATATTAGTCTGTGTGTGTATGAGTGTGTGTGTGTGTGTGTGTGTGTAATTTCCTCCCTGGCATCTTGAAATGAGGGACAGTAGTGGCAGAGATAGATGAGCTGGTTACCTTTTCTGAATTAGTGAAACTATGTTGTGTGTAGAGAGATGTTAAAGCAGAATTTTTTAAAAAAATCAACAAACTTGATCCCATCTAAATTGATGTCACAGGAAGCCCTTAGTAATTTTCTTTTAGCAACTTAAATCTCACATTTTCATACTCATAGCAATATTTTTAGTTTCCTTGCACGATAGTTAATGTGGGGATTTTACAGCTGTGTAAACACATTTGCGTAGGTAACTTATGCTTGGTATGTGTGAAGCATGCCTGTGTTAAGAATTTTTCAAACACTCTAATATTTGAAAGAAAATTTAATAAGTATGTGAGACAGTTTACATATTTAATATTTTAGTTATAAGTTCATGACTATTTTATTCTATTCTGGCTTTGATAAAATACCCTGAATGAAAATAAATTATATTCTATCATTTTTTTTTCTTTCCAGGCATCAATAGGTCAATAGAAAAAAATATATAACCAATGTTAGCTATAGTATTAATTTTAACCTTTGCATGAAAGCATTGCAGAGGTTCTACATAATTAGGCAGTGTTGGTGGAAGCATTTAAGAGTAGTGTGCAGCAATTTAATTGTAATTAATTTAAGTGCCATTCACTATAATTATAAATGTTAATATTCTTGGGGCTGAGGATCATTAAAGGCAAAAATCTAAACAAAAGTAATCTTTCTAATATCCTATCAGGATGGAGGATGAGAAAACCAACACAAGCCCAAGGTCAGGTTTTCTGTCCTTTGACTCTTAATTACCTGACTCAAAGTTGGCATGTCCCGACAGACAGAATAATTGTTATATTGGTGTATGAACTTTCACTTCCTGGTCCAGGTAGAATCCAAATGTATATTTCCTCTGTTCTTTTCCTACCAGTCATGACTTGATTTTTTATGCATGATTCTCTCAACCACTCAGGCATCAAGATGGTGCAAGATCCCTAAAGTGTTCATCCTCTCTCTTTTTCTTCTAACATTCTTCTCTGTCTCATTTATCTTGAGAGACTGCCCCAGACATCAGAGTTTCCCTGGGCTCAGAGCTTCCTTTGACTTCAAAGAGTCCTGGGTAGTTAGATCAGGTTTGAAGCACATGAAGAGGAAAGGGAAAAAAAAAGAGACAGAGAGAGAGAGAAGTTCTGTTATCTGGTAGAATGCTGCATTATGTTCCTAGGAAGGAACTGAACATTCACCATCTAAGTGTAGAATCTCGTCCTTGTTTGGCAGAAAGAACATCCTAGTCAGATAGAATGCCCACAGTACTGTTGCCCATCAAGAATAGCTAGTTCTCTGAGCTGTAAGATAACAATACCTCAGGATGTTGTACCATCCAGGAATTAATGACATAAAGATTAAAGTTTTGCCCTTCAAAAATCAATAGTATGTTTTGTTTAGAGAACACCTTGTCAAGATTGAATTCAGAGAAATCTAGAAATTTGTGTTTATTGCTGATATCTCTGACAATAAGAAAGTATGGTAGAAGTGATAAAAAATTTTTCTTAAAAATATTTCAGCTGCAGTTAATTTAGAGTTATTCATTCCTGGTTATATAACTAAAATGATTGTATATTCCTCAAGAAATTTATGGTTTTGTGATGCAAATATAATGCTAGATTAAACCAACAGAATGAATCAGGACAAGATGGAGGGAATATAGGTGTAATGGTGTGGAAAGAAATGATTTTTAATGGGTTATTTTGCTGTTTGGAACTTAGGGGAAAAGCAAGAAAGAGAGAGAAATTAGTGATAAAGTTAAATTCCCCAGTACTTAAAATAAATATAAATATCTTCAAGTTTTAAATATATTAAATTATTTTCCAGTATAAAAATAAATTCCCTTGTCACCATTTTTCTCATTCCCTGACCACCTGGAAAATTTTTCATCTCTAGATCAGAGATAATGAAATGTCTTGCTTAATGTTTTTCTTATTGGGAGTGTTTATATTTTATACCATCTTAAAGGATTATGTCTAGCTAGGGCTCCATTGCCATAGTAATAAAAGTTAGTCTGTCATGTAGAATGATATGAAAAGAAGCTTTACTTTTTTCCCTACCCACTGTTAACTAGTCATAGGGGATTTGATATGAGCTAAATTATACAGGCTGAGATAAGAAAAAAAGGAGCAGCGTGAAAAAGTAGGTATAATAAGGAGTGCATGATGTACTTATTGAATTTACTTGGATCTTCAGGCCTATTGGACTAATCTCCTATGTAACACTTCTGCTCACTGACAAGAGTATTGCTGGGTATAACTAAAAATATGGACAAATTGATTATCTAGCCCTAAGCTCATGATTAACAGCTCAAGTTTCATGGCCTGGTACCCCAAGGTGGAGATTCAACCTCTATTAAACAACAGTAACAGGCTGGGAAGATTTTCATGATGTCCTTTACAAAGAAGGCAGTGTTCCTTCATAGCTCCTATGACTCAGCCCAGAGACTTCCTTTTACTGCCAAAGCCTCCATCCTGGATTCCCATGGCATTCATCTTCTACTCTCTGGAATGCATGTATTTTATGAAACCACCTACTTTGTCTACTATTTCTGCACTTCCATATCAAGTCAGCAATATATTATCTATATATATAAAAGCCTAAGGGACCATTACGACTGGATGACCGGCTGGTAGCTATGATGTGCACTGACCAGCAGGGGGGCAGATGCTCAATGCAGGAGCTTCCCCCTGGTGTTCAGTGCGCTCCCACAGCCAACCTCCTGCAGCTGGCCAACCTCCCAAGGTCCCTCCCCCCGATTGGCCATGATAGCCAGCCAGGACGAGGGACCCTACCTGTGCACAAATTTGTGCACTGGGCCTCTAGTGATACATAAGAGTTTAATGTCTTGTGTGACATTGAAATATCCATTGTCTCTGGGTTATGTCATAGAGCAGGATCTGATATGCAAGACAGTAAATTTTGTGGGTTTTTTTTAAATGCATACACACTGCTTCTGGAGTTTTCTGTCAATCAAGATTAAGAAAATTTTCCAGATGGATAGATGCATGCTAAGTACCAGGATATTTACTAATATACTTCAATGAAAAGACCTCATCTGGAATAGCAACTCTGACTGAAGCTGTCACTACATTTTAATTTTTCTGTTGTTCTCTACATCCCATCCATCTTTTATATTGGCTTAAATTGAGTGGAGATGTGATAGAAAAAAAATTTTCCTGCCGAAACCGGTTTGGCTCAGTGGATAGAGCGTCGGCCTGCGGACTGAAAGGCCCCAGGTTCGATTCTGGTCAAAGGCATGTACCTGAGTTGCGGGCACATCCCCAGTGGGAGATGTGCAGGAGGCAGCTGATCGGTGTTTCTCTCTCATCGATGTTTCTAACTCTCTATCTCTCTCCCTTCCTCTCTGTAAAAAATCAATAAAATATATTTAAAAAAAAAAAGAAAAAAATTTTCCTTACAATGTTTGGATCATTGATAGCAACATGAATCTATGCTTTTTTTTTTTCAAATTCTAGTGTTTTATTTGGTCCTTCTACCAAACAAAACATTTTTCTATATGTCAAGCAATAAAAACTCTGACAGTTGCTGTTCTCAT